TATTGTTTGACAGTAACAAAATACAATTGACATCTGAACACCAAACGGACCGCCATCCACTCAAATTTTATAACCCTGACCGGTCAGGGGCGAATGGAGGTCATTTCCTGGGCATTACACTCAGCCCTTGCACAAAATATCTCACCTCACAGTGATCATTACAACAATAGCACCGACTTGATAGTGGATTTCAAAGTACTTGCATCAGCTCTTCCTGCTATTGCAGGTGATCATCTCCTCAGGGTAATGTTGTTCGGGACATGAACGAAGATCGTTTTCGGAGTTTCATAAGTGCTACTGCAACAGCCTGGCACAAAACAGGACTTGTTCGCTCTTCTCTGCACTTTGCCCTTCAGTATATCACAAAAGAATTGTTTAGAATCCATCTTACGCTTCTTTCGCAGTCTCCCTTGCCACCGTAGGGCGTAGATAGATTGCTGTTGCTGGTAAGTTAAGGCACGGTAGATAGAAATTACCTCGGTTCTCAACGCCTTAAGTTATTTTCATAAAAAGAACAATTAAATGATCAATAAGATGACAGGAATGTAAACATTTTAATCGTAAAGTAGTCCAAATATTGGAATGAGCTTTTGCTTTTCAGCATCCTCCGATTCATCATCTTTATCATTTGAAAATTCGAGGTAGGGGAGAGTGGGGCAAAGCGGCCACCCGGGGCAAAGCGGCCATCCATCGTTTTAGCCCTCCACAGCTGGCGTCAGTTCCAATTTATGATTTCCAATTATACTTCTCTTTGCGGTCGTTCGAATGAGCCAGACCGGGGTTTCAGGCCCATCGCCATTGTTCTGTGAAACACGGAAAAGCATTTCTTGCCAGGTTACCAATTATGTTTACAATTTTTAAATGTTATTTTATTCCATAACCATTTGGAATTTTTATAAGCGTTTTTGTCCATGCATTGCGTGGTTATCGTACATGCCTTCTACCAATTTTAATGCTTTTTACCCCACTAATAGCTGAGCTGGAATATTTTTGTCTCGGACGGTATGCGCGGGGCAAAGCGGCCGGGGCAAAGTGGCCAGCCCCCAATTGGCCATAAGTTGTTTCCATCTGGATAAAAACATTATTTATATTCAAATGTGTCGTCATGCATTCATCTTGGCCACTTTTCGGTTACATGAGTTACCAAATTATGCAATTAAATGTTTTTCCAAGAAAATTATTTCTTTGTTAGCAATAGGTGGGAGGATAACAAAGTAAACATCCATCTTCCCTTAAACCTTGTCACCATCAAATACCCTAGTCGTGCATGAGGCAACTATTCTGTTTCTCACATCGGGACTTGAGAAGTCGCCAGTGGCCGCTTTGCCTCAGGGATGGGGCAAAGTGGCCAATATGCTATAGGTTTAAAGTTTTGTCAATATCTCCCATATGTGAACGCCTTTGGAAATGAAACGCAGTTGGAATAAAAGACAATTTAATAGGGATCACATTGGTATAGAAAGAATCTTTCCAAGTTTAAAAATCAAGCGTCGGCATCGTTAGAAACGTTAGGGTGGCCGCTTTGCCCCACTCTCCCCTACATAAAATGTTTATCACGCGCTCATGTGGGAATATAGTACACGGCAGACACATCAATTTTTGACACTGAACATTTCATCCGTAAATGTTTTAGCATAATTATAAGTTAAAAACAGCGCGAATGGCAGAGTGAAGCAAACAACATCTTTCACCCATTGATATAACATGTAATCTGTGGTGCGCCAGATGCGCCATTATTTGTCAACCGCAGAAGGTGACATGTGACGTAACAGCATCAAGAGCATCTTTTTTCAAGAACTTTTCAAAATAAGTTTCCTATCTTTCTTCCCCCATTTCTCTCAGCTTATTGATTTTACGAGGCAATGGTATGCACCATAAATTCTGTGAAAATAGTTTGATCATTTTCATGCATTCTTAAAAAATCGAGTTCCCAACCCCATTTTCCGAATTTCGGTAAACTTTGGTTTTGAATAGGTAATCTGTGCTTTGTAACGGTTGTCTTATGTCAACGTTTCTTCGTTTTTATTTATATCAGGCAGCTTTTGCCAAATTGTCAGGGAACTCACATTTATTTTTCAATAGAAAAACACAATTCTAACGAATAGTGTTTTAACTATTGACAACAAACCTTCGGCTATGTTCATGACAAACTACTAGGTTCTAAGCATAAAACACATATAATAATGTTTTTTTCCATTATAGACTGGGAATTTCGATAATCCTTCCGATCGTTCTTCAGCACAGATTCACCCAGGCGGCGTCTCCGCGCGTTCTTGAAGCTCTGCAGCGGTTCTGCAGGCCATAATATTTACTCTGTTGAGTGACTGTGACGTTCGGCTTGCTTCTGCTGAACTGGACGCAGGGATTTCAGATCGTACGAAATCCGTGTACGAGTATGTATGTTAGTCTCGTGCGTAGGCGCTGTTTTCACTCATTATAAAACATGTGAACGTAAAGGAATGGAAAAATAGGAGCGCTAATATGGTACAAAGAGGTATCGACTAAAGGGTATATTGAAGGGTAAATTATTGGAAATAATTATCTTTATCAGCTGTCGTCGTTCTCATCGTTTACTGTCGTTTCAAAACCACCGTGTTTGCTACCTGCTGGTGCTTATTCCAACTCCTTAGTCGTAAGATTCTGTAGATTTGGTCGCGATGTCTAGATCGATATCATCGGACTTAAAACTGTGACTATAGGTATTTATCGATTTTTCGTATATCGTTCAGAGCTGCTGCGAGGAGCATAATTTATGTAGGAAGTATCATAAGAATATATGACCTTCTCGGAAAATGACAAAATGAATGAAAATGATTATTTATTGATGAATTGATGATATTTCCTATATTTATCGATTGTTGAAGTTTAATCCAAAATCGCTATTAAAGGGCTTAAGTATTGTATAGTAAGTCTACGGTTTTCGTTTGAATGCTTGAATAAAACGGTAGTATTGACAAATAAGGATTTTTGCCTAAACTGCAGAATTGATGTGTCAAAGGAAGGGTTTTTATAGTTTTTGCCAGGCGCTATAGATATAAGTTTTTTTTTTAAACTTTTGTGGCTGCTTCATTTGAAAGTTGTTATACCTTATCGGTAAAAGCTGATTCTTCCTCTTATAGGAGGGGGTATCGAAAAGTTCTGATCATCACCATGAATTAGATGTGATAGAAATTTGATCTTTTTACATGATGTTCATTATTCCTTTACAAGTCACCACACACGACCGCAAACTTATTGCATCGTTTCTTGAGATGCCTCAGGCGGTCATTGTAGGACCTTCGCCTTGTCCCGTAAATCACTGCTCCACCTCATCAATGAGGTCATTTCTGGCCTTTAATCACCGGCCATACTGTGGATTCTTCATCTCCTGTAACAATCAAGAGTCAGTTAATACCCGGTCAGGTGAATTTCTTAGATGCGGTAGGATTTAATGTCCACATGATGTTGTTTCTTCAATCGCAGCTCAGGACGAATGGGCGGGGGCGCTGTCGGTGCGGATAAAACATCTTTCTTGGGCTTTTTTGCGGCGATTCTGTTTGAGGCCATCTCGCAACTTCTTCAAAAGTGTGCAGTAGTGCTTGCCTATCATTATCCGGCCATCATCAAGACGGTCGGTAATGACTATCCTACGCCAGATCCAGAACACTGATAGCATTGACCTTCCATATCGGCTTCTGCATCTTCGCCTATTATGAAGGACAGATGTGCCGTGCTTAAACTTCTTGATCATCTTTTTGTCTCTGGATCATACACATAGACCCAGCATTCGTCACAAGTCATTAAATGATCGAAGATGTCTTCAATTTCCTAAAAAAAACCTAGTTTTCATTTCGAAAGGCCAAGACGCATTTTTCTCTTGAACAAAGTAGACACACGAACTTCTAAGCGGGCTGACTCCTTTATCGTCTGTCGTTTTTCGCCGATAATATTTTCAGGCACTGCCAGCATTGAGACCTTACTGTTGCACAATCATCTGAAAGGTCACACGACGATCTGTAAGGATGAGGTCCTCCACTTCCTTCACAGTCACCACTTTGTCAGTCACTGGTAGTCACTCACTTCTTGACTCCCCTGCAAGGGTCATGCAACCAAGTTGAAAATTATTTCTTCATTTTCGGTAGGTGCATTAGATGGGCTTTCTAAGCTATAAACTAATTTCACGTTCTTGATGTATTTTCTCAGTGTGATACCGTTTCAAATGCATTAGTTGGATGACGGTTCGGTCCTCAAAGGGCCCAATACTCATCTTTTTTACTTCTAAGTCTCTCCTACATAAGATAAAACCACTTCTCAGGATTCTCTTTGCGGGAACATTGTTCTTAAGAACCAAATATAATACCAACCAAAAATCATCAAAATCGGTCTATATCTTCTATGTGATGATCAGAACTTTTCGATACCCCCTCGTATCTTCCTCCTTTAAAAGATAATCTTCGAATTATCTAATCCTCATTTGAACTTGTTCCGAAGTGACTCAGAACGGTTCACTGTCCAGTGTCCATGTTGCAATTGTGCACAATGCACATACCGCCAATTCAGTTGGATACGTAGTGCACCAAACCCCTATCTTTGCTTTAGTTCAACCTGCCAAAAGTGTACCTAGTCCTTTTTGGATTTTTGATAATTGGATGCTTTTTCTTCCATACGCCATACGCCTCAGTCAATGACAGCTCTGCTCTGTTTGTGTACTGATGATAACCCATCTGTCCGGTCGCTGCTATAAATATTGCACTGGACAGCCCGACCCACGGAACACGTCTGCTGGTCAATGTGTATATGTTTCACGTAAATAGGCAGGCGGCCTCAGTGTTTCACCGCCTAGAATTCAATTCAACCGCACCATGATGCGATGTCCGATTTGGTTGCTGGGAAGTGGGCAAACACTATACCCTGGCTCCCTGGTCAGTGGCACGCACTACGTAGGCATAAAGTGGCCTCTAATCACAATTTGGTTCCACAAGTAGTATCTATTTGTAGAAACGCGGATAACTACATTATTATTTTGATATAAAATGTATTCAATCCATTTATTGTTTATTTAAGTATTCAAACATCGGGGAAAAAAGTTAGGCCCCACAATAGAATGGAGTGCCACGAACGGCGGCACAGCCAACGAACCAAACCTACCATCCAGTCCATAGCAACTGTAACAGAAAACTGAAAAAAAAAACGGACAGAGATGTGTTGAAACGTGAAGCTATGACAGCACATTCACTGTGAATTATTCCCAGGTACTTAGCACAAAACTGTGGCAGAAATAAAAGCGGCTCAGAGACATCTCGCGTCATTCTTACACCCGGCAGTAAACACTTAGCTGTTCCCGGTACACATTTTCGTGTCGTGTGTACACTGAAAGCGTGATGCTCGAATTGAGAGGCCGATGCAGCATACACCGTCTAAGTAACTGCATGAGGGATCCTATTGTTGGCGGCTTTGTATAGCAGGTTTAACAGAGGCTGGCGTCATTCATCCGATATTGATATGCCGACATTTCTTGAGGACGTGTCTTCATTCTTGCTGACAAGCCAGTACGTCTCCATCGTTCCTTTTCCCTGCAGCACAAAAACGGTTTATATGAATGAGAGTCTGCTCTCAGTCCAGCTGGTATTACCACACACTAGACTTCGCTCTCACACGTTCGGATCTACTATTTTGTAGGTCTGGTGACTCCACACCGCAGTTTACGAGAGGCGTGTGTTTTATCTGAAAGTGCTTTAAAATGCTATTGGCGTTAGCCAAATATATGAAAGGACGTGTCGTAGCCACGTCCATAACTTACAAAGTTACAATGTTAACATTTCTAACGTCCATTAAAAACGAAGCGTTATATCAGATTACCTCCACCTGGATGTGACCCCTGAACTCGATCTGGTACCCTCCCATTCGCTGCAGGAGGTCACATGTTCTCTGCGTCAGGTGGATCTTCATCGCTGAAAAGGGTTGTTAGTGTTAGCATGGGATCTGGTTAGCTTCATATCGGATTTTGTAGAAAGGGAATCTTCAAATTGGGGACGAGCAGCCATCCTCCACGTCATTGACACGTCAAACATTGGTGTGGGGATCAGTCGATTTAACGCGCACGAGTAAAGTTATTACTGCACGAGAGCAGTGAATAAAATCAATGGTTTGGGAGAATGGGAGCAGTGAGTGCGAGGGTTGAGTGGATTGGTAGCTGAACTGGTTGTCATTTTTATTGGTGAGCAATATAGCACTTTTTATATACTTCCACACCTTTTATCTCACAAGCTATTTCGGCCCTATTTTCAGTTTAATTATGTCGGATCTTGATTTGCGCTTAATACCAGAGTTTAGTGGTGATTCTAAAACATCTGTAACTGAGTGGATAGAAAAAGTGGAGCTAGTATGCAGGCTGAGAGGGATTCACGAGCTTGAGGAAGTTATACCTCTTCGACTGACGGGGGGAGCATTTGCGGTGTATCAGCAGATCCCTGAAGGAGATAAAGAAGATGTCGTTAAAGTAAAGGAGGCACTCACAGCAGCATTTGCGCACGATTCGTTCGTGGCCTACGAGAAGTTCGTCTCGCGGAAGCTTTTACCATCGGAGACACCGGATGTCTTTCTTGCTGAGCTGAAACGTCTGTCCGCATTGTTTGGCGGAATCAGTGAGCGCGGGTTAGTATGTGCGTTCATCTCTGGTCTCCCGGCATCAGTGCGACAGGTTCTACGTACCGGCTGTCGCATAGAGTCTATGCGAATTGATGATCTGCTGGTGCGTGCTCGTGCTGTCTTGGCGGACACGAATGCGTTCGCTGTCAAGGCGCAGTCCTATGCAGCAATCACATCACCGCCACCAGTCGTAGCCGACGAATGCTGCGGTGGAGTTGGAGCGCGATATGAGAGACGCTGCTTCAACTGCAATGGAGCAAACCATCTCGCCAGAGACTGTCTCCTCAAGAGGACGGGCACAGAGAAGCGCACCAATGTCAAGTGCTTCAGGTGTGGTGGTCCGCACTTCCGCCGCCAGTGTCCGGAAAACGCCGTGGGAGAGCAGTCAGCGCCAGCCTTCTCTCCGACTGTCCAAAAATAGAGGCGCTGCCTTGCACAGAAGTGTCGGTTGATGGTACTCGAGTTCTTGCACTGGTTGATTCTGGGTGCAGTCTGTGCATCTGTCACGAGTCTGTTTGTCGGCAGTGGCGGAGAAGAAACATATACCTGAAGGCAATAAATGGTCAGATGATGCGGTGTGCTGGAGAAGGCACGGTGCGGATTCGAGTGCCCGAGGTAACCGAGGTCGAAGTTCATGCTCTCGTAGTAAAGGATAAGCCTCTGGGATTTCATTTCATTTTGGGCATGAACGCGATCACTGCAATGGGAGGGGTGCAGATCAGCAGTTCAGACGCTGTCAGGTTTGGACCAGCAGCGGTGGTGGATGATGCTGTGGGTGCAGCAGTAAGTGAGGAGACAAGTTCAGATTCTGTCAGGTTTGAATCAGCAGCTGTGGTGGGTGACACCTACTCGTTGTCTGTGGGTGCAACAGCGAGTGAAGAGAAGAGATCTGAGTCAGAACAAAAGGAACAACAGTCTGAGCCAGCCGCAGGAAAGGATCTTGCTGCTCCGTCAGGCGTGATGCCGGTTGTTTTTCACGAAAGAACCGTATACTCACCTGAATCATTGTGTATCGACGAGAAAGACTACAGGATTGTTTTTGATTCGGGCACAAAGACTTGGATGGTTGAGTGGAAGTGGACGGAGCGAGGAGAGCCAGACACACTGAAAAACAGAGTCGCGTCTTATACTGTGCCGGAAGATCGTCGGGCTGAGTATGAAGAGGAGCTACAAAGATGGGTGGATAAAGACTGGCTCATTCCGTACGATCAGACAGAGCACGGGCAACCAGCGGGACTGATACCGCTGATGGCAGTGCTGCAGGAGCGCAAGAAAAAAGTGAGGCCCGTATTGGATTATCGAGAGCTGAATGAACATCTAGATACTCACACGGCTGATGCAGACGTATGCACTGAGAAAATGAGACAATGGCGGAAAATGGGAGTCAATGTCGCGGCTGTGGATTTGAAATCAGCCTATCTGCAAATTCATGTTCATCCGTCCCTGTGGAAGTATCAGACCGTGATATTCAGGGGCAAGAGATGGGCTCTATCGCGACTCGGGTTTGGAATGAACATATCACCGTCAGTGATGAAGTCGGTGCTGAGCACGGTCCTGTCACTCGATCCAGAGGTGAAGAAGGGGACCAGCAGCTACGTGGACGACATTCTCGTGAATGAGGATGTTGTGTCGGCAGACAGCGTCTGTGAACATCTTTCAAAGTTCGGCCTCGTGGCAAAGGAGCCAGAGCGCGCGCGTGATGGAGCCAAGCTCCTGGGTCTGTCTGTCCACGGAGAAGGCGGCGAGCTACAGTGGAGGAGAGGAGATGACAGCCATGACGTCCCCGACGAGCTAACGCGGCGCTCTGTGTTCTCCCTGTGTGGAAAGCTCGTGGGACACTTCCCGGTCTGCAGCTGGCTGAGACCAGCGGTGGCGTTCATCAAGCGCCGAGCGAACTCAGTGACGGAGAGCTGGGATGATCAGGTTCGCTGTGAGCACGTGCGAAACTTCCTGGTGGAGGTCACAGAGAGAGTGCGGCAATCGGATCCGGTTCGTGGCCGCTGGGACGTTTGCGGCGATGATGAAGCCCATCTATGGGTGGATGCCAGCTCAGTAGCCATCGGTGTGGCGCTGGAAGTTGGCGGTTCAGTCATTGAAGATGGTGCGTGGCTTCGTACCAGTGACGTGACGCACATCAATATGGCGGAACTTGACGCGGTCGTGAAAGGCCTTAACTTGGCACTGGCTTGGGGCTTTCAAAAGATCACCCTCTACACGGATTCTGCAACTGTGCATCGGTGGATTTCGGACGGCCTCAGTGGTAAAACAAGACTCCGAACGAAGGCAGCAAGCGAAATGCTGATTCGACGCCGAGTGGAGATAGTTACGTCGCTTGTGAAGGAATACCAGTTGCAGCTGTCAGTTGAACTGGTGCAATCTGAAGCGAACAAAGCTGATGTCCTGACGCGCGTACCACACCGCTGGCTTCGAGCCCTGGCAGAAGGAGAAGATGAGGCGCCTCCTGCATGCGGACTGGCTGTCGAGACCGGTACGGATGCCATAGGCTACCTGGTCGCTCGTGTGCATCACGAATGGGGCCATCCAGGCATTCGTCGCACGCATTACTTTGCACGCCTTGAAAATTCGAACGTCACCAGAAAAGAGGTGCAGAAGGTCGTCGCAGACTGTCAAATTTGTCGGTCTATCGACCCCGCCCCCGTAAAGTGGAGGTCAGGCAAACTTGAGGTGGACACAACGTGGTCAAGATTGGCGATTGACGTAACGCACGTCCACGGGCGACCCTATCTCACGGCGGTGGACTGTGGACCAAGCCGGTTCGCAATATGGCAGCCACTGAGTGCAGAGACGGCCGAGGCTGTTGCAGAGCAGCTTGATGTGCTGTTTGTGGATCGAGGCCCACCGGCTGAGGTGCTGGTAGACAATGCGACAGCCTTTCGCAGTCGATGCTTCGCTCAGTTCGCATCACAATGGGGCGTCACAGTGCGATACCGCTGTGCATATGTTCCATCTGGAAATGGAATAGTGGAAAGAAACCATCGCACGGTCAAAGTCATCGCTGCTAGAAAAGGATGCAGTGTTTTGGAGGCGGTTGACATTTATAACGCAACCCCACGGCACCTGAACGACGCCCAGTCCACTCCTGCTGGTATCTTGAGCAACTGCGTCCAGTGGGATGCGGGCATGATGGCACCACGGACACCAAACACAGCAGAGAGCCCATACGAAGTTGGTGAGTGTGTGTGGGTCAAGCCACCGCAGGTCCGCTGTGACACGCGATATGAACAGGGTGTTGTGACAAACATCATATCTGAGCAGGCGGTAGAAGTGGATGGTATACCTCGACACATCAGAGACCTGAGACCACGAGTGGCAGAAGGGGATCCCGGAAACCTTCAGAACACCAGTCAGGTTACAGCCCGGCACGTGCAAGATTCCAGTGAAGATGAAGAGCCATTAGTTCTCCGGTTCGGTTGTCCAAGCCAGACCGACGGCTCTGTTGCAGTAGAACCAACTGGAGATGGGGTACAGACAGAAGGTCAACCACTGAGACGCTCTGCGCGATTACGAAGGGAACCCCAACGACTGATGTACTCGTAACAGCGTGTTGTGAACGAGAGTGTGATGTTGAAACTGACTGTGTTAACTTATTGATCTCGCTTGTGTCTTTGAGATCAGGGGGAGTCAGGGGAGGTCAATTGTGACTTTGATGTCAGGGGGGAGTGTGGGGATCAGTCGATTTAACGCGCACGAGTAAAGTTATTACTGCACGAGAGCAGTGAATAAAATCAATGGTTTGGGAGAATGGGAGCAGTGAGTGCGAGGGTTGAGTGGATTGGTAGCTGAACTGGTTGTCATTTTTATTGGTGAGCAATATAGCACTTTTTATATACTTCCACACCTTTTATCTCACAATTGGCAAACTACATGTAACTGACATATAAGTGAACCGGTTATTTCGAACTAGGTTTATTGTTAGTACCTAGACTGTTTTGCACTCGCAAAAATTATGTCTTCGGTGGGAGTTGAACTCACGCAGGCCGTTCTGCTCCATTCTGGCGGCCGTGTTGACCGTGTCTCCGAAAAGGCAGTAGCGAGGCATCTTGGTGCCGACCACTCCTGTCGGTCGCCGGAAGTTCCAAAATCAAATAACTTTGTATTTCTTATTTTCTATTACAATGTGATTTTTATTCAAAGCTTATTTCAGTCTTTTTGCATACCTACCTAATGCTTTAATTTTACCTAATTATCACATCACGAGCATTGATTAACCCTATTCCTGGCGGGCTCCGCCGGGACAAGAAACTGGCGGGGGGGCCGATTCGGCCCCCCCCCCTGAGATCTCGAGAACGAAGCAAGATAGCGACAAACGGTAAACGGCATCGGATACGCACGGTCAAGATCTACAATTTTTACAAAGGTCATTTTCAGGTCAGGTCAAAGATGACGTCACAGGGGTCGAAAAAGTCAAAATGGCGGCGCTAGATATGGAGAGAGTTTTTCTCGAATAACTTTCGAATTAGTCAAGATAGGAACAAACTAAGGGCATCATCGTGATCCTCTCGTCAATCCGCATCGAATGATATATATGTTGACCTCGCAAGGTCAAGGTCAAAGGTTGACCTCAGGTCACGTGACCTCGAGGTCATCATGTATATCATTCGATGCGTCTTGACGAGCTGAACACAATGAGACCATCCACGCGTCTGTATCTTGTTCCTGTACGGAGTTATTGGCCAAAAACCTTTGGTGACCTTTGATGACGTCACATGACCTCACAGCTGCCCAACAGCAAAACAGACCTCAAGGTAGTGAAGGTTGATCGTATATGAAGTCATGTATGGTATATGGGGCCATTCCGACCCGTTTTAGTGGTAAAAACGGAGTTGATTTTTCCCCCATTGACTTATAATGGGGAGGTCGCGAAACTGACCTGACCTTAGGTCACCGATATCAAAATTCCGAGATATACAAATTGCACATACTGGTACCCTAACTAAAGCCTGAAGAGAAGAAATTGATCGGTCAAAAACTCTAGCTCTGGCGTGATTGCAAACTTTTCTGAGGTAGGGTCACCAAACCGCCTCTGGTGACCTGACCTGAGGTCAGATCAACTCAAAATTTTCAGACATGTTGCGTAGAAGCCTTTTAGGAAAAGTCAGAAAATTTGAGCTTGCTAGCTCAACGCGTTTGGGAGAAATAACCAAAAAACCTCAGGGGGGGGGGCTCCTGAGGCCCCCCCCCCCGCCAGGAATAGGGTTAAGTTCCTAGCTAAAATTGAGCGTATCAACAGCTAAAAATGCTATCCGTTTGTATTGTTTAATTTACTATTCGTGCTTTCTTATTGAGAAAGATTCTTTAACAGACGGTCGATGACTCGTTCTCCGTGTATACCTGCCACGCAGGGCCCGGTGTTGATCCCCAGCCGAATGTGCAGCGGGTGGTCCGGGAGGTGCGGCACCTCAAACCGACGTGACGTGGCCAGCAGCTCCAGCGCCAGGTCAGCCACCTCAGTCACGTGACGGTCACCTGAGGGAACAGAGGTCACAGGTCATGTGAAGGTCGTTAGGGGCGTCAGAAGTTGAGTCAAAGTCACTTTGATGGTCATAATTCGAGGACTTTAATCGGCAGTCCATCCAGTGGCGTGTTTGATGAAAGAGACATCTCACGATCGCTGTAATTTAGCTGTGGTAGTTTTGCACCGCCTGTGCTGGCTGTTCCGCGCTCAACCACTTTTGGATAGACTGACTCCAATGTCCCACTTCGAGGACAGACTGGAAAGGAACGCGCGTCTGGTCGCTGCATCGGTGATCACTGCTCAGTGAGCATTCGAAGTGGCGGCAATTATGTCTATTCGTGTTTAGTGCTGAGCCGCGTACCGTTTTTGTGCGGCAGGCCGGAGGCGCACATGTAGACCGTCTCCACCGCCTCCACCTTGTACACGTCAAACCTGTCGATGCGGTTGTCAAACGTCTTGAACAGCCGGTTCAGGAAGGCCATCACCTGAAAACAGAACGGGAGCTGTCGTACCCTGTGCAATTAATTGTGAAACCCCTTTTGCTGCCGTCAACGTCTTACATTTTTTTACAAGGCTAGTCTGCATAGTTTTGGGCTGAACTGCTCATCGCAGGATAGTGAGCAATGAACATTTTGCTCCGCCGTAGCCGTGTCCTCCGCAACTACGCAAGCGGGCATTTTTATGAAAAGCTGGTATGTACCACAATTCAAGTAATATCTTTAACATTTCATGCACACACATGCATGCATGCATGCACACCGCCGCCGACCTGGATGGGGGTGCTCTGCGCGGCGATGCTGGAGAAGTCGACGATGTCGCTGAAGAGCACGGTGACGGCCTGGAAGGACTCTGCCGACACCTTGTGCATGCTCTTCAGCTGGAGCGCCACCGAGGAGGGCAGCATCTGGCAGAGCAGGCGGTCCGCGCGGCGACGCTCCCGGCGCATCTCTGCAGTCTTGGCCGCCAGAGACTCGGTGAATATCTGTTGAGAAACGGTACAGAGACTGTGATTTGTGAATACCTTTTCAGAAACAGTCAAACCGACAATATGAGCATCTGGGCGCAAATAGTTATAGCGATTCTGAGCTGTAGGCGAATGGCCACCTGTTTACTAAAAACTGAACGCAAGCAAAAAAAGTAACTTTGTAAAATACGATTCTCAGGTACCAGTCTTATTACAGCGACGCCATGAGAGGTACTCACAAATACGAGTATTTGTTTTCTCTGCGATATTCCTGAATATTTTTGCTCCTCTTCAAAAAGATTATTTTTCCGTAATGCATCCGTTTACTTTCAGCCGGCTCACCTCCATTTCAGTCGCGGCCTTGCGCGTCATCAGGATGCCAATCAGCGAGAGGATGACGACGAACCCCAGCAGGCCAGCTGTCCACATCTGCTGCCGCTTGGAGACCAGCACTTCGTCACTGGTCAGAGATCTGGAGCAGGGCAGACATAGGATTATGGCAGACATAGGGCTTAGCTGCTACAGCCTCGAGACCAGCACCTCATCACTAGTCCGAGACCTGCGGCATATATGTACATGCACACTGTAAAAAAAATCTTACAAGCCCCTTGTAGGAAAACCGCTGGCGCAAAAATGAGCATGCAGCGACGTGTAAGAATCGCCTCATATTTAGCTAGTAAGAGGGTACAAGCTTGTTTCGTTAGTAAATGACAAGCCCACGCCTCATAAACCGAGCACCCCCTTGTCAGCCCCTCGTTTCGTTATTCGGTACCTCGTTTGAAAACGAGGGCAAAACCAGCAGATCGGTACGCCGATTAGGCTCCTTAGCAGGACTCGCCTGGTAACCCAACCAGCTAGCGCCTGCTATTGCTGCCCAGTAGTAATACTAGCTCAATTGCGTCACCCCCCCCCCCCCCTCCTTCTCCCCAGCCGCCCCTCCGACTAGTGGACGACCCGGCCAACGACAGCCACGACAGCGTGCCAGCCACGTTACAAAAAAAACATACACAAAAATAACGTTTATTACTTATTAGCATACGATACAAAATATCTAAATATATACATATTACAATATCATAGCGGAGTGTTGCAAAAGCTGATTCGAGTCACCACCAATAACATTCACAAAATAATACGGTTGCATGAGACACGATCGGGCACCTCCACGGGCTTTGACGCAACGGCACTTACAACAGGCGAGTGAGCAAGTTGATCCTGCCATGTCAGGTACATTGTGCACTGTGCAGTCCATCAAATATTTGCCATACTTTGCAGATTCAAGCAAGTTTTTTTTTCTGGGCGAGGCTTACCAACAGAAATATCGCTGGCTTCCGGTATACCTTCATGCCTCAGTCTCCCACAACTTAAAGCAACTCTGCAAACAGAAAAGAAAATTAACTGCTGATTTTAAAATATCAGTGAGGATGGCTTTATTATCTACATCAACTGACTTTTGTATAAGATAAATCAATGTGAGGCAATATGTGTAGCTTACACATTTGGAAAAAAAGGCTAGACAGCAACTGAAAGAAAGTCCGTCTTCCAACAGTCGGAATTCAAACGAAACAGTGGCCCACAACGGTCAAGGGGTGAATTCTATGACGCAACATGTGTTCAGAATATTACAAAATAAATAAAATGTCCCCCATTGCTACGTAAATATCATACAATATAACGTACCTTCGAAATATCCCAGCCCGAGAACTTCACAACGCACCGTGCCACAACACAACCGCACCAACCGCCGGCAGCCGCAGAACTGAACAATGGCGGCCGGAAATGACGGCCCCGCGCCGGAAGTGAAGGACGCGTTTTAGAAGCAGTCTCAGATTCGTCGCTGCTCACCGTAGCAGGGACTTATGAGGCACTACCGAATCAAAGTCGTTTCGCCTCATTCCGCAACACGAAAACCCTACCAGGACTAGTCCGATGATAGTTTCCGACTAGGTGGCGTGTGCGCAGGATTACATTTAAAGCACGTGCAGGGCGGTGCCTCATTAGCCGACATAATAATAATATGACACGATAATGAAACACGCATGTAACTAGCATGCAACAAGCTTCTGGCGGATTTAATTATGAGACTATGCATAGTTTTCCGACACAGCGCGAAATCTGTTGATAAGCAGGAACAGTGGCGTACGCACATACAGGACATTCCGTGCATGCCCTGTCCCTTTGGCTCATCGTCCCCGGCGCCCTCAGTGACTGGCGCCCCTCTGTCCAGTGTTGGCGCTCCTCCAGTCGATAGCGGCGCGCTTCTAGTTGATGGCGAAGCCCCTCTGTCCAGTATTGGCGCTCCTCTGGTGATAGTGGCGCCCTCCTAGACGATATGATGGGCCGGTGGCGCCCCTTTGTCCAGTATTGGCGCCCCTCCAATCGATAGCGTCGCGCTCCTAGATGATGGTGGGTGGCGCCCCTCTGTCCAGTATGTCAGTTATGTTCGTTCCGCACGTGTACGAACATAACTGACACATTCAAGTTTCAGATATGTGGCGCCCTCCTTGTTGTTGGCGCCCTCCTTGATTGGCGCCCTCTCGTCCAATGCCCTGGTCCTTCGCAAATTCCTGGGTACGCCACTGAGCAGGAAGGGGTGTTAGGGAAGCATTTAAGTTATTAGGTTACCGTTTGTAACCAATTGTTTCACGAGGCCACTCTTTAACTAACAACCCTCAGGCTGATAATGTCCCTATATATAACAGCAAGGTACAATGGACGACCGTGTAACCCACCCCTTGTCATAGAATTGGCTCGTGACATTTTTTTACAGTGTACGCTTTGTTGACGGGAGACTAATTTGCGAAGAAGTTTGATGATTTTTCCGCCTTTTTTCTACGAACATTATTCACTTTTATGGTAACGTGCTTTGACTTCACATGAAAGTCGTTTATTTACGCAAGTCTTCGAAAGCAATTGGGCTATCGAATGGTTGACATATTTAGTGCATCGACGGACAAGTTGCCTTACTCGATGTTCTCCTTGAGCTGCAGTTGCACTTGCTGCAGTCGGTTCAGCAGGCGGCTGTTGTTGTGGAAGAAATCTGTGGCGCTGACATTCAGGGACGCTCGAGGCACGTCGTTGATTATGCCGTCCCTCCTGCGGCAAAACACGTTCGTTCGTATGTGTTGATTCACTTATAAGCAAAAGAGAGTACACCTACTGTGCGTAACTAATGAGGTTCATGCTATTGATAGGTACTGCATAGTGCAACAGAGTTCGCAATTTCACGTGGTTTGCCTTATCTCTGTAGGCAAAACCCATATTTTAGCGATTCCATATTCACCTTTCAATGAGCTATTCAATAAAGCTTTGGGTTTACGAAGACGGGTGAGTTTTATTCTCGACCATTGCCCGCAGTTCCGCAGTTCACTCACACGACCATGAAGGTGCCCATGCCGTCGCCCTCCTCAAGGATGTCACTCATGTCGTCGGCGATGCCGGAGGCGAACGTGCGCGTGTTGCCGATGTACTCCCAGAACAGAGTGTCGGAGAGGGCCGTCTGGGTGACTAGCAGCGGCGACGTGCCGGCGGAGAGGTACCGCAGTCCCAGTGTCAGCAGCAGACCCAGGTGCTCCACGGCGCGCATAATGTTAATGTACGCCAGAAACGGGCTACTGTGGGGTGGAGAGGAAGGATGATTCAGTGACCGGTGACGGATGAAGGGTATCTGCTATTTGTGTAACTGGATATTCCCCGAATTCTGCTATCCAATTCTGATATTCCTTTCTCATGTGCCCAGAGGATTTGTGATCAAATGACGCATGATAATCCTATACAATCCTCTTTGGCTTTTCCTGAAATACAAAACATGACGAGTTTCAGCTCATTTGCTTGATCTGTAACCAGCCTATTCCTAAGAATCAAAGCATTACACCCCTAATCTGAACATACTAAAATGATTGACCCGAGTATAGGAGCTGAATTATCTGACAGGAGCGAAGTTTTATATTTCGGCTCCAGGCCTGGGCATATCCAAAGCTGACGTCTATGCATGGGTGGAGAATGTTTGAAAAAGTTACCCCGGCCGGCGACCGATAGTCATGGAAAAGACGGCATGCTCAAATAGTATTTGTAAACGGTTATCAACAAACACCCCTTTTCTGTTGATTGAAATAATGGATATTGTGATTGCTGAATGATGAACATTTAAACAGTTATTTCTCAGTTATTCAAGGTCAGGCCAACAGGTTACATCAAGTGACCTCGCCTCAACTTTCACAATGGTGCTGGGGGGCGGGGGCGTTTCTAGCCTAGTCCCCAGTCGCTTTTACGTTTGTAGGTGAAACCGCGGCAAGCATTTGCGTGAAACTCAGTTAAGGCAGTTATAAATTATAAATTCAGTTATAATAAATCAGTTTCGCATAGTGGTTCTGAATTTCTCTCCCAAGTAACCTAGGGTGAGGCTCGATTTTGCTAGATATTAGATAACCATGTTTTAACACGCGCAGTGGAAGGGTTGCGAGTACTACGCCCAGTGGAAGGGAGGGGCGGATGTCGCCCCCCCCCTAAGATCTCAGCTCCCACTGGAGCTAGAAAGACGAAATTTGAAGGGTAGGCGGGGGCCCAGGGGAACTCTGTTTTGTGTGAATTTCATGACCCTAGGTCAATATCTTCAAGGTCAAATGAGGTCAAAAGTGGTCAAATCTGCCATATTAGCGACTTTTTTTGCGTTTACACGCCGATAACTCAATAAGTTACCGGCCGATTTTCTTTTTTCTTTCACTATACGAAAGAACATACATTTGTTAGTATGTATGGCGAATTTCTTGTTAATCCAACAATAAATATGGCAGTTAGAAGCCTGCTAAGCGTAAGATGTCGCCGGCTGAAGCGGGATCGGCGGACGCGGGAAACGCGGCAATCACAATTTTGTGTTTACACACTCATAACTCAAGTTGTTACCGGCCGATTTTCAAAATTCTTTGACCATAAGATTGCCTGTACATTTCTTAGTCTTCTCATAAAATTTGACGCGAATCGAATATAATCAGCGGTAAGGAGCGCGATGTAAAGACGGAACCGTCCCGCCCCGGCACAGTCTACAATTCAGGCGGCGCGTAACGGCTAGCGCCGGCCGCCGCGCCGCCGCGGCGGCAGGATGTTTGACTTTACACCGCTATTACTAGAAAATTTGTGACCCGATTTTTTATATTTCTTGCACGAGAAGATCCGCAGTTCAATTCTGGACAGGTAGCCAAAATTTCACATTAATATCATGTTTGTGGCGTGAGTTATTGGCGAAAAACAGGAGGGGTGGGCGAAATCCGCCCCTCCCCTCCACTGCGCGTAACAGTCTGCGTTCATAGATCATTTGCAGAGCTTGGGTATTTCCTAAAAAGACGAAAGTTTCCTTTTTTCTTACAAAAATGTTAAATTTGACCGTTGTGGCCCTCTTGAAGCCAAGCGATTGGTTTTCACTTGCACCTGAAATGTCACTCGCGAAGGAGTCTTAAAATAGCTATCAAATGTTTTGTTTGCAGTGTTCTAGCTCCTCTAGATCACGAGCTATGAGAAAAGTTGTGAAAGCACGCCATGAAAGGGAAAATTTGACTTTTAATGTCCTGGAAATCAGATGGAATAGTAACCTTTTGCTCATAACTAAAGTAAGCTAAAAACAAATCCAAAATATATTTTCGGTGCTGGACCTTCTTCAGTGGAAACTTACTTATCATGATTTAAAATGTGTCACTCTTTCGTGTTTTTGTCATTCCACTGAAGAAGGTCCAGCACCGAAAATATATTTTGGATTTGTTTTTAGCTTACTTTAGTTATGAGCAAAAGTTTACTATTCCATCTGATTTCCATTATAATCATAATCATGCTAAAAAAAACGTTTCACATCATTCAATTTTTGATGTCCTGTGGTGATTTATTTTTGTGTTGGCCTAAAATATGACGAAATTTCTCTTATTATGTTTAGCGTTCTTTCAAACGGCGCTGCCACTCCTCGACACGCAGCCCAGCAGCGGAGTTTGAAAGGGCGTATAACGCCTACTCTACCTCTCGCCTCAGCGTTTTCGATAGGGCTACCACCCTGGCGTGGTTCAAGTTGGGGGGCCTTGAGCCCCCGCAGCTCTTCTACTTCTTCAATGCTACCTATTTTGCCTATTCGATATGACCCTAGACCTATTTTCTTGTGTGATGTTATTGTAACGTGGTCTTACGATAACGACCCTTGAATATCGTTTTATTTTGCATGTTTGATCAAACTTGTGGGGCTCTGCGTTGACAATATTTTGTCAAAAAGTCCCAAAATCAAAATAAATAGATCTTTAAAAACTTAGAAGAGGTAGATAAGAGTAAAGAGAGACACTTTTGTAGGTAGAACTAAGCTTTTTCTCGTTTGGAGACAGTTTTTAGGAATTACAAGAGTGAAAAAGTTACCCCGGCCGCGTCGGGGCTGGCTGAAAGGTACCCCGGCCACGGCCGGGGTGGCCGGGGTAGGTTCTCCACCCATGCGTCTATGGCTGATCTTTAATCTCACCTGACGTCTCCGGAGCTAAGTTTTCGGTCGGAGATGTGTCGTACCAACACGCGCAGGAGCAGAGCCGTGGTGCGGTTGTACCAGAGCATCTCTGAGCGGGACGGGGTGCGACCTTCCAGAGCCATCCGTCTACAGGGAAGGGAGTCGTCAGAAACGACGAGGGTTGAGGGCTACTCTGTGTTTTAAGAAAATTATGCTGATGTGAACTATTTCACAATGCGCAGCACACATTGAACATCATGAACTTCCATGCCATACGCGTTGCTCTCGTTCCTAGCATTTTTACGCTCAAGCATTGCTACATATTTTTATACCTAATGCAAATTTTCGAATTATATTGACGTGGGTGTTTCTACACATGATACGCCTGTATAACTTCCACCTGACCTGATGTCTCCGAGGTAGGTCTGGAAGCGGCCCTTGGAGGCGAACATGCGGTCCTGCCACTGCAGGCCTGCCTCTCCGGCGATCGCACTCCAGTCGACCAGTTTATCCAGCGCCAGGTCGGTGCGGTCAAACACCTGCCTCAGACTGTGTTCGCGGTCGTACACAGCAAAACCGTCCTCTGGGAGAGAGAGAGAGAGAGAGAGAGAGAGAGAGAGAGAGAGAGAGAGAGAGAGAGAGAGAGAGAGAGAGAGAGAGAGAGAGAGAGAGAGAGAGAGAGAGAGAGAGAGAGAGAGAGAGAGAGAGAGAGAGAGAGAGAGAGAGAGAGAGAGAGAGAGAGAGAGAGAGAGAGAGAGAGAGAGAGAGAGACGAATTCGAGATTATTATATATTTATCATGTACCAGTTACCAGCACTCTAATCTTCAATACCCAAAAGGCTGCATCTTATGTAGAAATGTGTCAAATGTGATGTCACCAGTAAATCTCAAGACACTTATCGGCAGACACTTATCGGCACGGCAGTGTTCCCGGGCATTGCATTACGGAAATGTAGGTAACGCGTTACGTTGTGTCATTTCTGTTAATATTATTCATTAAAATAACAACTTAAAACAAAACAAAAAATGACGATTATCCAGCATCTCTGTATAGTTCAAGCATGCTATACGTTTTACCGGCGCTCTATGTCCTGTTGTAGGTTTTACCGACGGTCTATGCCCCCGTTGTATGTTTTACCGGCGGCCCATTTTACACGTTATACGTGTAACCGTCGGTCCATAGGTCATGTTACACGTTGTACGTTTCACCATCTGTCTATGCCCCTGTTGTACGTTTTACCGGCGTTCCACGTCCCGGAGACGTTGATGCCGAACACGTGATAGGCCATCTCGGAGCGTTCCGTCTGCATGGAGGCCAGCAGCAGCCCGACATCTGTGGTCTCCTCGATCTGTCGGGGTTACGAAGACAGTGTCACACAATATTTGCGAGGAATTCGGTGACACACTGTCATATACAGAGTTTATGAGCTCTCCGTCAGCCTATCTGTCTCCACCGTGCCAGTCAGGCCTCTGACATCTGCCTCTGTCGCTTGATTGAATGCCTGTATGTGCGAGGCGGACCATTCTCCTCTCCCACCGCACGATTGAGGCGGACCATTTGCCTCTGCCGGTAGTTTCAATGGATCACACAGTACGGTCGAGTCAAGTGCGTCATTTGTCTGCGGGGTAGATGTGATGCCTTTGACGGTAGCTATCACGTCTTATAGTTCGAGTTAAACGGACCAGTTGCCTCTTTCGCTCGATGTTATTTCTCGCCGTGCAGGTCAGACGTACAATTTGCCTCTACCGGCAGTTATAATGCTAGTTGTTATGTCTCACCTTGCGAGTCAGGTGGACCATTATCCTCAGAAGAATTGTATCTCACCGTGCGAGTCAGGCGGATCATCTGCCTCTGTCGGTAGATGGCCGATCCCAGGATGTAGCAGTTTTGCACGATCAGTGCCATCACCGGGATAAAGTGCAACACCAACATCTGTCAAAATATCAACAGTCACATTTCAGACTGAGCAATGTTTTGGTTGATATCGATGCCAAATTGTCTAGAAACGTAGCATTCGCTCTTCTGGGAGGACAGTCTTCCCTCCCTCTCCTGTATTTATGCAATATATTGTAATCGTTTGGGGTAACATGGACCGTCCTAATAGTCTCTAACCTGGACCACGTAGAACCGGCGTCCCTGGCGTGTGTTGGGGTTGAACGTGCATCCCCGGTACATCTCGAAGCTGTACTGAGACTCGGTGATGGATGTGGTGCTGAACGACTTCCTGCTGCGCGTGGACATTGTGTCCGACTCTGCGGGGAGGGGGAGACAAGCGTAACATACATTCTGATATTAGTGCTGGAGACAGATGTAAATATTTTGTACTTATGCTGTGCCTTTGCTACTGGTTTAGGCACTGCATCAACAAATTTTGTCTCGAATTTAAAATACGCGATTGAAACACTCGCTAGTGAAAGGATTTTCATGTATATTCCCCCTATACTATTTTAGCCGCTATGTAGCTATGTCGACGGTTTGACGTCGCTTTTTGACAGCATTACTTGATAATTTATGAACCCATTTTGGGATACAGTCTCTCTAACCCCACCCACGGGTACCCGCTCTCGAGCTCTCACCCCTATGTACGCGACCTGTATGGCTGTTAGGCGTCAGCCGGTGCTGATCGGGCGCTCTCTCCATGCTGCTGCCGCCGCTGGTGCCCTCCTCCTTCTCCGGCACTCCTCTGCTCCGGACGTGACGGACCCTAGGCCTGCACTGGGACGACCCCCGGGGCTCCTCAGAGGCAAGGAGGGATTCATCACGGCGGTCGCGAGCTTAGCAGCCGGCTCAGAGCTCTGCCCTTCATCCGGCGCTCCGTGCGCGGCTCGTGACCGTCTGGTCACGTGAGCGAGTAATGAGACTGGCATCGAGCTGGATCGACAATTCCACGGAGGGTAAGCTGTGGCCGTGCCGCCGGTCAGTGGCAAAAGAGGTGGATGATTAAAATGTTCCATAAATTGTCAATAATATGTCGCTTTATATGTAATGACGTGATGTTCTATTCAAGTGCCTACCGATTGATGCAGTCCTCTTTTAGAGAACATCACTCAGTGTCACCTAAACGACGGCTGCTGTTCGCCATTCGGAGGTGCACCCAATGTATTTCCGATTTCGCTCATAGATGGCGCCAGTGGTAAGCGCCTGCAGTTATGCTGTACCGCAGCGCCGAGAAGTATGCGCTAACGGCCCTGCCGCTCGCTGAAAGCGGGCAAAAGGTGTAGTGCTCAACTGTGGCTTAGAAGACAAAAGACGAAAACGTTTCAAAACACTATCGAACAAGGACAGCAAGCTACGTAAGCCTTATAAGTTATGAGCAAATTATAGAAATAATCTAAATCGGTGACGGTGACCCATTATTTCCCCAAGACCTAACACATATAGTGTGCGGCAGTGTGTTATGTATGTGTAGATTGGTACCCACTTATTTAGCATTTTCAAAAGGTATAATGCATTTTCAAAAGGTGTATTTTTACCACTTTGGTTGAATGTTGGATACCTATAGCGGCATTTATGTATGGTTTGTGCGATTTTATATCGTAATTCACAAAGAGCAAAGATTTCGGGCGAGCATCGGATATCGACACATTTTCCGAGACTTATTTGTCAGTTGCGCGTTTGCTTCCCAGTCCCATCGCCTCGCCTCCATTTGTCTTTGCGTCGTTTCGTGCTGTACAGGGTGGGGCAGCATAATCGGGAATGCTTTTTGGGCTCTGGTCATGAGTAGGCATGGCATTATTTTGATAAATTATATCATGGCAATGAAACGCCCAAAAGTTGTGCATCATCTGACATGACTACATCCATGAGCATGCAACTTCCTGGAAAAGAGCAGCAAAATAGTTCGACGGTGCTCCAAGTGCTTTGCGCGCGCCCATAGACACTAATGTTAAACGAGTAAAACAAGAACATTTTGTTTAAAACAATGCCATTCCACGTAAAGGTTGCTGGACAGGTCAACGTGTTATCACGGACGATAAGGATTGTGTGGGGATACTTAGGACAAAAAGTTAACGTAATCGTCGTAAAATAACTCTTAGCAGAGGACATACAAGATGACTCACTTGAATATAAGGAAGAAGCTCTTGAGCATATTAAAAAGAAACAATGTTCAAAACTTCAGCGACCAAAAATCTTATCACCGACTGGAATACGATAAAAAAGAATGGCATGCCATATAGGGGATTGTATCGAGAATATTGCAGCGGTCATGCAAAGTAAACATCCTGTTGAGGTGATGGACCTATGGGTGGTCTTCAAGGGAGGTGCACGTGGTGCACCCTACTTCATCGAGCCCGGATAAAACGAGCACCTCTGGTAAATACATCCACACTCTGGCAGACTCACGTGGAGTCGTCGGAAGAGAGGATCACTGACGGTCCAGATCACGTCTTACGAGGACTCTGTCCGTGCTGGTACTGCAGTGAGGACGACATGTTATTGTGTAGGGCACCTCCACCTGAGATGAACCAAAAACTTCTGGTCCTTCAACTCCGCCGATTTAAATCCGACCAAATTCTTTATATGGAGCGTTTTTTGGTAGAAGTTTAATGAACAACTTATCATCAGTAAAAACGGTCTTCAGTGCAAGGTACGAAGCTGATGGGCGATCATGGACAAGCAGGAGGCTGCACGTGCATGCGCGTGCTTTTGGACCCGCCTTGAGAAGGTCATCGACGCGAAGGGCGGTCAAATAGGATGAGGGATAGGTAAAAGGTGACCGATTGATGGGATGTTGTTAAAATAGTGCTTGGAGCTATATTTTTAAATTCATGACCAAATAATCCCGTTTGATATTTATTCCCGATTATGCTGCCCCACCCTGTATGTCACGTGACTGAAGAATGTCTGAGCGTGCAATGCCGCCCTGATCAACCCTGATCTAATACTCAGTCACAGGATGTAATCACACAACACGCACAGGGGATAGATAGAGGAAATGAAACGGTGGCCTCGTTAAAGTCATAGCCCTTACGATACCACTCCTAAATGTTATATGCTCGTCGGTAGCAAGAGGTTAACCCTCGCCCGCACATGGGGGGTGGTTGCCACCCCCCAGGCAGTCTTTCTGCTCTGCACTCAACATTTTTAGAGCTAGAAGGCTGATTTTTCGTATAGCTGCTCGTCTATTCTTTCTTGATGTCCACTGAAAATTTCAAGTTTCTGTGATTTTTGGTTTCGGAGATATGACCTTGTTTTTCAGGTCATGTCATGACCCAAATGGCCAATTCTCAACATCTTGCGTTTGCCATGGGCCTTGTGAGCTTTTGACACCCTGATTTCGGCCTTTTTTGCCAGTCTTACCTCCCACCTATCATGGAACATGTTGTTCGACGATGTACAGGGGTCAAGGTCAGGGTCAAGGTCAACCTAGGTCATCTAAGATAATTGCGTTTTAGGCAAGCTGAATTTTCTTTTTGTGGAGTTTTTTAACTGCATTTTTGGTAAAAGCTTCTCAGATCATGATTTCATGTGATATGGACCCAAAAACAATCGGTGCACACATCAGTATACACACAGACACACACAGACATACAAACACATATAACTGACCTTGACCTAACTTGACCTGAAATGACCTCAGCACCAAAATTCTGGTCGGATAGTGTGACAAAGAGGTTCTAGCTGGCTTGGCACCAGAAAACAGCATCGTCATCGGTATTTGATAAGCAGCGCACATGATATCCAACGGTGACCCAAAACAGCAACATTTTTTAGTTTGACCTGACCTGGAAGGTCAATGACTGACCTGAGAAGGTAAAACTGGGTATCATTGGATTCGTTTCTTCCCAAAGAATCTTTTTGGTCTTTACTGCTAAGCTCTATCTCCAACAGGAACGAAATGGCGCGGGGGGGGGGGCAACCCCCCCCCCCCCATGTGCGTTCTAGGATGGGAAAATGGCATGTGCGGGCGAGGGTTAACGCTCAAAACTAAAACAACTGTTTGTGAAGTGGAAATATATTTCACTGTGAGTCAATCTGATGACGTTCATAGGACATTTCATAGACACTTTTCAAACGGACCGTTTCGTGCGCGCAAGACGCAATGGATAACGTATTCGATATAACGCATAGCCAAATTGATAGGTAATGAGTTAAAGTTCATGCGGCTCAACACATTAAACCACACGGTACAAAGCCCCTTCTTCTAGGGACGCAGACCTTCGGTATCGATGGAATTCATCCAATAAGCAGCTTCCTCCCTCGGAACCTTTCCGAACACAGCATTAATTTTCAGAGTGAGACGTTCTCTGGGAGGCAGCTTCATCTTTCTCGTCCCTTGGCTGACCTTCTTGTGACCTCGTCTGCCTTTCGGACCGATGATGGGGGCAAGATAGTGTCGCCTTCCCTTGGAAGCGACGGCGTTCTCCGCTCGGATAACCCAGGCCCACCGAGATGTCACCTGTTCCAGGGGAGGCAGTCGAATCAGCAGCTTCTCCCCGGGCTTCTGGATCCACTTCAGATTATTTTTGCTGCCTCCGAGCAGAGTGAGTTTCCCAACGGACGGCTTCAGCCTCAGACTCCCCAGCTTCAGGCTCCTGTCGGTGGGCCACTTGAGGAGCAGGACGTAGACGTAGCTGTCTCGCTGTGTGTACCACACTCCTGGCGTGCTGGAGTCGTTCTGGTGCACCCACGGTCGGGAGCTGTAGATGGCCTCGCCGTTGATGCCGAGCCACTCGCCCATCTGCCGGAGCCGCTCCTCGAAGATGGGCACGATGCGTCCGTCGTGCGTGGGCCCGACGTTGAGCAGCAGGTTGCCGCCGCAGCTGACCGTTTCCACCAGCTCGGCGGTCAGCTCCTCCGTGGAGCGGATGTCAGAGAGCGACACATCGCGCCGGAACCCCCACGAGCCGCGGTCCACCGTCAGACAGTTCTCCCACTTGCGCTTCTGCAGCACGCCCGGGTTGTAATGGTCCCGGCAGGTGATGAAGTCACCGTGCGCGCAGCCGGCATCCTTGCCCCAGCGATCGTTGACGACCACGCGGTCCTTGATGGGTGAGTCGTTGTATAGCCAGGCAATGAACTCCTTGCTGCCCCAGTAGTCCGAGTTGGTTGCCTCGATGCTGCCGTCCGACCAGATTACGTCTGGTCTGTAGCGTCTCACCAGTTCGTACAGCTCAGGGATCGTCTTGGCAGCCGGAAACGTCACCTGCGTGAAGTTGCTCGCCTGGTCCGACAGCCAGAACGGATTGAAGAATTCGAACAGCGAGTGGTAGACGCCGAAGTGGATGTCAGTGTTGTTACGGACGGCATCGGCCAGGTCCTGGACAAGATCACGTCTCGGGCCGACGTCCTTGGCGTTCCAGTTCCAGGCGTACTTGCTTGGCCACAGCGTGAAGCCTTCGTGATGCTTGGTGGTGAGCACGACGTACTTTGCTCCCGCCGCCTTGAATAGCTTCGCCCACTGCGCAGGGTCGAAGAACTCAGCCGTAAACTTCGGCGCGAAGTCGGCGTACGTGAACCCGGGCCGGAAGTTCCTCTTCATGAAGTTCACGTGCGCCGGATCGCCGTCATGCCACTGTTTCCAGAACCAGGCGTCACCGAAGCTGGGCACCGAGTAGACGCCCCAGTGGAGGAAGATGCCGAACTTGGCCTCATCGTACCACTGTGGGAGTGGCCGGGTGTCCAGAGACGCCCAGGTGGGCTGGTAGCGACCCTGGACAACATCCGGCACCAGCCAGCTCACCGCCAGCACCAGCAGCGCCCACAGCATGGTGACTGACCGCAACACCGTCGGGGACGGTTAGTGGCTGACCGCTGGTGCTGCGACACCGGTGCCGGTCACTAACGATGCGCCGTGGTGCGATGGATCACGTCACACAAGCACTCAAACTTCCACTTGCACGTTTAGCATCGGACACAGCCCGTGTCTCTGAATTCACTGCTTCGCACCCAGCAATGCCACCAGTATTGAGCGCTGCAGCACCCTGCAGCCGGCCGTCTATCTGCACAGTGCAAACCCCTGTGACCGTGTGCACACAGTCCATGAAACTGCGCACCACCCGACGCCCGGAGCCGGGGTGACGGCCAACAAAGCAGGCCAGCCGGTCTGATCGACGAGCCCGGTGCAGTGGTGCCATGGGATCAATACCGTGTTTGTAGTGTACACAGGAGCGGGACCGTTTGTAATGTGTCGTGTCGATTTTAACCAGATACGAATAGTCACTTATTATAGTAAGAATGCGCTATTGATATGTGCTGTATAACGGCAACAGACGGACACTGAATATGTTTTTATAAGCATTTATTTCTCTCCACATTCGTACCTATACGCTCACCTGTATACTCGATACGCCTATGACAAAGCCTCAAATTTTACTGGCGCTAGCTGCATGTTAACTTATGCATATTTCAATAGAATTCATTCACCGCAACAATAACACTTGTGCTAACATACCACCGTTCAATTGACGGTCAAACTCGTGACCGTACTGCGCTCAGAGTTCAACTGCCGCTCTCAATTTCGACCTGACGCCATGCCAACCGGCGCGATACGATACCCAACCCACCGAGTTTATGGCCCGGCGGGGCCCGACTGTGTACCGAGTGTCCGTTCGCCGTGTGGGACCGGTGTTGCCACACTGTATCAGCGCTATCTACCGCTCATCGGCTTATCTCAAGTCAAGGAGGGTGTTGACAAAGGAGGCCCCTCGCCACGGTCTACAACAGTCACTAGTCAGCGCGTGTCAAGTCATTTGTCAGAAGAGACGGTCCGGTTTCATCCGACCGGGACCCCGCCTCCCGCAAGGAGCCGTGCTCCCCACCCGCCAGGAGCTGCACTTCCCCTTCCACCTGGCGCCGTCGGTCGATGCCGTTGTGTTTTGTGGCGCGGCGTCGCGGTGGTCCGTCGCCGTGCCTGGAGGGAGGGCTGAGGGGTGTCGCCAGTCGGGGCCGGTGTGGGTGTCGCGTGGCCGCTACTGTTGGTGAGGTGTTCAACGGGAACGGTTGTGCCAGGGCCGAGCTGGGCTGGATGTGACGTGAACACGCGACTCACGGGTGTAGTGACGAAGGGAAGTGCAGAAAGTGAATTGGAAAGGTGAAGTGGCCGGATAATCGAGTCAGTTGTATGAAGAAAAATCGAACTCGTGGAAGGCTCAGCATTGTGTTACTCTCCTGACTGTCTTCAGTGCCAAACTATCTTCCGACCATGTGGCCCTTTCTGGCCACCCTCTCACTCTATCTGACGCTGCTCTCTCCCGCCTCGTCTCTGCTCTATCCCCGCGCGTCCGAGTCCCGTGACCTGGTTTCTCTGGACGGCATCTGGCAGTTCAGGGTCTCTCCGCCGGGAGACCCAAACGCCGGCTTCCGCGAGGCCTGGTACTCGGCGCGCCTGTCCGAGAGCGGCACCACCATCCCGATGCCGGTGCCCTGCAGCTTCAACGACATCACTGCCGACGACGAGATCCGCAACTACATCGGCTGGGCGTGGTACGACCGCGAGCTGTACGTGCCGTCCGGCTGGTCGGACCGGCGCGTCGTGCTCAGGTTCGGCAGCGTCAACTACAACGCCGTGGTCTGGGTGAACGGCCACTCGGCCGGCTCCCACGAGGGCGGCCACCTGCCGTTCGAACTCGAGGTGACGTCTCTGCTGAAGATGGGAGCTGCCAATTGGCTGACAGTGGCGGTGAACAACACACTGGACCTGGAGACCATCCCCCAGGGCAAGATCACCTTCAAGGATGACACAACACGCTACCCGGAGGGCTACTTCGAGCAGTCGTACAACTTCGAGTACTTCCATTACGCAGGCATCCACCGCTCCGTCCAGTTGTTCACCACGCCGCTGGCTGTCCACATCCAGGACATCACCATCACGACCAATTTCTCCACGGACTCCAGCGGACTTTGGACCGCCTACGTCAGCTACGAGGTCGATGTGGTGAGGTCAGCGAAGGCCTCGGCCAGGTCGAGCCTGGTCAAAATCCGGGACCAGCGCGGACGAGCGGTGCACTTCAAAAGCCTTCCACTTTTGCCAAAGAACGGCCGAATCCGAGGGATGGTCACTATCCCCAACGCTACCCTCTGGTGGCCCGTGGGGATGGGAGAGACCCCCGGGTTCCAGTACACACTCGAGGTCGTCGAAACCGCTGACACTGCCACCAGACGCGGCGGCTCGGAGATGGACGTCTACCGTCAGCTGTTCGGTGTGCGGACGGTAACCTGGGACTCGGACCGGCTCTACGTCAACAACCGTCCGTTCTACTTCCGTGGCTTCGGCAAACACGAGGACGCCAACATCGTGGGCCGAGGTCTGAGCCTGCCCCTCATCATGCGCGACATCAACCTGATCGTCTGGAGCGGCGCCAACTCGTTCCGCACCTCCCACTACCCGTACGCCGAGGAGCTGCTCGACCAAACCGACGCCGCTGGCATCGTCGTCATCGACGAAAGCCCCGCCATCGGCCTGGAGGGCTTCGGCGCGACGCTGCTCGCCAAGCACAAGCGTGTGATGGAGGAGCTGGTGGCCCGCGACAAGAACCGACCCTCGGTGCTGGTCTGGTCGCTGGGGAACGAGCCTCAGTCGGCCGAGGAGGCCGCCGGGCCATACTTCAAGGCCGTGTACGATCATACTCGGGCTCTCGACCCGACCCGGGCCATCACCACGGTGGTGTCTGTCGGCGCCGACAAGGACCAGGCGTCGGCATCGATGGACCTCGTCCTCATCAACCGCTACTTTGGCTGGTACTCGGACAGTGGCCGGGCCGAGGTCATCGAGCGACAGATGCTGACCGAAGCCGCTGCCTGGCGCCGGACGTTCGGGAAACCCCTGGTCGTCTCAGAATACGGAGCCGGCAGCGTGGAGGGTCTCCGCGACCTCCCCGCCTTCATCTGGACGGAGGACTACCAGGCCGAGTTTCTGCGCCAGTACCACAAGGCGTTCGACAAGCTCATCAGCACGGAGACGTGGTTCGCTGGAGAGATGGTGTGGAACTTTGCCGACTTCGCCGTGCCCCGAGAGTACATCCGGCCGCAGTTCTGCATGAAGGGGATGTTCACCAGGGAGCGGAAGCCCAAGCTGGCCGCTTACGTCCTGCGGGATCGCTACACCCGGCTGGCGGAGCGAGAGGCGGCTAGGTGGACCCCGAAGGTCTGATGTGCTTACTTGACAGCCTCCAGTGCCGTGTTTTGAAACATGGGCCTCGTTTCATAAAAGGAATTACTTACGGCGTTCCGTCAATTATGCCAGATTTGGCGTATTTGATGCCAATTCGGTTTCATAAAGCCGGAGACCGGAGTAATTCACGCCATCGAAAGTACGGAGCTTCATTTACGGCAAATGCTCGATTCCGGACCAATTGATGCCATTTGGGTTTCATAAAACGACGTAATTAACGCCAAATATTTTATCAAGCTCTTGATATCAGTGGTGTAAACTACGCACAAAAATGTTGCGTGATTTTGAATTAATGTGAAGATTTGAAGCTAATTTTTAATATATTTTATAATGTTGAGCCCGGTGAGGAAGAAAGAACAGCCAAAATGAGAAAAAGAAACTGCATATCTTCTGTACCAGTCGCATTTGTGGCCACTATCGGAATTTTGTTTATTCGCCGCGCCGCGCCACTTTCGTAGTTAGGCACTTCTGCTTAGCTGGCTTTCTGCTGTTTTAAATATTTTGTTTTAATACTAAGGATGGTCATCAATATCAATTTTGTTTTTTCATACATAATTTTTAAGATTTAAATTCAACATAATTGTTTTATAAATTCTCGTAAAAAAATAAGTGTTGACATGAAATTGTAATTTGTAGGACGCTTGATAAATTACGGTAACTACGCAAATGTGCTTAGTTACGGAGGTGTAAACAATTCCAGTTGTGGCTTTGTGAAACGGATTTATTTGCGCTCCGTAGTTTGAAAGGGTGTGAATTACGGAAAGGTGTAAGTTACGGCAGAGTTTTATGAAACGAGGCCATGGAGAGATTGTTGCGCTGCGTGACGATGGCTTGATGTTACGATTCGTGTCGCGCGCGGTTCGGTTCTTCTTACATGTGCTGCATGTGAAATAGTTGTCTTTGCTGAAAAAAAGGTTAAAAAATTAAGGTTCAAGGGTTTTGCTTTTATGATACAAAGTGCGTAGAAACGAGGAAGTGTTAACGGGTGTGAAAAAATAAATTACGTTCCATTGTCTTTTATCCTAGGTGTTAATCTCTTCTCAACACTCATTCCCATCCCTGCTGTAACGAAGGATCGAAGGCAACTTATCGCAGTTTCGAAATCTACTTACAGATTGCAGAACAAGACCACAAGCACTTTATTCGATAATGGATAAATACAGCAGCACACACGACAACAAGACAATACCGTGATATGATGGCAGGCACAGTGTACGACAATCAAGCATAACGCGGCGGTCGGCGCCACCGAAAACCTGTGAGATGGAAACAAGACAATGTTGCATAGGGGCGCCTCAGGCGCACCGGCAGCGTTGCCATGACAACATGTCAGCTGTTGTCAACCAAACAGCGGTCTGTTCGCCAACAAGGCAGATCCACCGCTTACTGCGCCCCTGGGGACAGTACAGCTTAAACGCAGCAATATCACAGAGCAGGAGTCGGGCGGCCCCGGGCAGCGGCGGGGCCGGGGGCGGGGGCGGCCGGTGCCCGGAGCACGCCACGACTCTGAGAGCGCCACGCGGGCAGAACTGGCCTCCAGATCTCCTACAGACGGTCAGCCGAGACGGCCGGGGTCCGGGCGGAAGACGGGTCCTCGCAGAGCTCACCCGGCATCCTGGGGTCATATTGCACGTGCAGAGCGGGCGCGCGCTCGTCCTTCTACCTACCCACACACACATAGTCACTGAAACGGTACCTGAACACACCATCCGACGCCCCAACATATCACAAGGGCACAGTACGCGCTCCCGGGATAAAAACGAACGCGAGATTAACGGCGAGATGATAAACCTGAACACGCAGCATTGCACTGGCGGTCTCCGCATCTCCACCTGCTCTTCGCGACTGACTCTCTTCATGACTGACTCTCACATGACTGGCCGAGAGGTAGAGGACTGGCCGGCGGGAGGACCGGGGGCAGAGTGGGGCTGAGGGGGCTACTTGGGGTCGGCGCGCCGGTTCTGCGCCCGGTCCAGCCGGAGGAACTCCTCTTGGAGATAGCGCAGTGTCTTCATCAGTGACTCCTTCTCCTCGCGGAGGCCCTGCGCCTCGTCCTCTGCCTCCCGACACCTGAGTGGGCAGAATGTGGAAAGAGTCACGCATCACTCCAGCATAGACAGAGGGATAGGGTCACACGCCAACCCAACCTCCCGAGAGCTTGAACCCCGTCCTCTCGACACCTGAACGGACATATGGCACTACCAAAAGACACCTGAACAGACGGGGAAGGAGAGCGGCTCAGATAGAGAGGGGGTGGTCACTGGTCCGACAAGGCCACAGTGACAGGGGATGGCTCCATGTTAGAAGGTGGGCGGTGCGCACCAAAACACAATATATGCCGCCATGTTTACCCGACGAACATCTGAATCAGCACACACTTAACCTTCGGAAATGGTCGTCGACATTAACAAACTATTCCACTTCGGGCAGCACTGATGACCTTCTCATTTCAAATGACGTTTTTCACCCTCGGTACGTTTTTATCACGGTGACCAGGCAGAGGTCCCGCTCCCCCATCTCCTTCTCACGTCACCCACCTGGTCTCCATCAGCGACAGGTACTGTAGCCGCTCCTCGGCGCCCCGCCGCTGTTCCAGTTGGTTCTCCAGCAGCTGACAGCGCTGTCTCAGGCGGGCCAGCTCACTGACCACCGCCGGCGGACAGCCACCTCCTCCTCCTCCCCCGCCGGGGTTGTTGAACGAGCTGGTGACGTCGACTCGAGAGGCGGAGGTGCTGGCGTCACCGGGCCGACATGGGTTGCCTGTGGGAGGAGCGGGGAGGGGAGGGTGGTTAGCGATGGGAAGTTTGGTGGGGTCAGAGTAGGGGATGAGCTCATCAGAAGGCGGATGTGACAAAAGGCGCTCATGTTACAAGCACGGTCAACTCCCAGCACGTGAGGAATATGATAGCTTCGTGGGCGAATGAAATTTGGTTGACATTTATCGGTATTTAGGCATAACGAAGTTTAACGATCGGTATAATCGGTATGACGGCATTTCCCAAAGCAGCACATAAGTAGGACCCAAGACACACCAGTGAACTGCGCCAGCCCAGCTGTGACCTAAACTGACGCGGACAGTGACACCCTCTGACCAAACCAGTGACCTCTACTAACCGGATTGGTCCGCCGCCGCGGTCTGGTGCACGGTGAACACGCCCTCCTTGTCCCTGGTGACCCTCAGCGAGGGGATGGACAGGTCGAGCGGCACCACGCCCGGGCTGGTGATGTTGTTCGGGGGCCGGTCCTCGGTGAGACGAACCTTCAGACGCTCAAGGTGCAGCTGAGGGGGGCGAAAGGGATGTCAGTGAGCCACAGTCGACAGCATTTGGGGTGCAGCTGGGGGAGGAATGAATGCCCACACAACTACACAAATGCTGTACGCATGCTATGCGAGACACTCAAATAGCTACGCATGTTCAGCAGACATTGATCGAGCCTGGATGAAAATGAAGCTCAAATTGCAAACCACATAGGTAGTCGTGGCTCGGCCTCGTGGGAACACCACCTTAATCCTAACAATTCAGCCCATCCTCTCACACACCATCAGTAGCTGATTTCCGCCTCATAGCTGACCTCCATTGGCAGCGGCACGCACAGGATCTCGTCCTATAACTAACATCCACGGGAAGGATCTCGTCCTATAACTAGCTTCCACGGGCAGGATCTCATATAACTAGCTTCCACGGGCAGGATCTTGCCATATAACTAACCCCGTCTGCAGCGGTACGGGCAGGATCTCGTCCTATCACGGGCAGGACAAGGACCTCCTATAACTAACCTCCATCGGCATCAGCACGGGCAGGATCTCGTCCTACAGCTGACCTCACTAGGCACGGGCAGGATCTTGTCCTCAACTAACCTCTATCGGCAGCGGCACAGGCAGGATCTCGTCCTATAACTAACTTCACTAGTCACTAGGCACGGGCAGGATCTTGTCCTACAACTCACCTCCATAGGCAGCGGAGCCGGCAGGATCTCGTCCTCGATGAAGTCGGTCAGGTTGGCGACGGTGCTCATCATCAGGCCCAGGTCCAGGTCGCTGGCCCGCACCTCCAGTTCGCTCTTCACCTGTTCCCGGACGTTGATCTGCCGCACACATGTGAGTGCGGTTAGCGATCACACACGGTGCAGCGTATCAATTAAGCATCTGTCACAGGCCCGACCACGCTACGGTCTTAGGATGTAAGATTGCAGGGCAAGTTTAACCCGCGCGGGGCTGGGGTCTCCAGCCGAACGCGCGGGGCTGGGGGGGTAAATTTTACCCCCCCTGTTATCTCCCGAACTAATGGTCCGATTTGGAAAATTCAAACGCCAATCGAAAGCTCTCATCACGAACTACTAAAAACATGTACTTAATTTAAAGTTTGAGGTCAAGGTCAAGGTCAGGTCAAGGGTACAAATTGCAAGTTTCTACAGTATCGGCCTTGCACCGTAGTTGCCGAAGAATGGAGTCATGGACTGAGACTGATCGCCCAAAACGTGTTCTTAGGCTACCAAGACAATATTCGTTGCATACAATATCATTCAGAGGTCAAGGTCAAGGTCAGGTCAGGTCAGGTCAGGTCACCAAAAAACAAAGTATAGAAAAGGGCATGTGCGACACATGTTTTATGGGTCATTTTACTCATAGAATTCAATTGGCACACTCAATAAGTGATATGGACCTCCTCTGGATGAATTTCAGGTCGAGGTCAGGTCAAGGTCAGGTCAAGTGAGGTCAAATTTTGAAGTTGGTTGTTAAGGCCTAAAAAGGTGTCAATCTGATGCAGTTTTTCACGGCGAATCGAATGGTGCTATTTTTGTTTCCGTACGAGGTCTAGAACTTCCAAAAAAGTCATTTTTCAAAAATTTTGTGTGTCGTGACGTCATAAAATTTTTGAATAACTCCCACATTTTTGAACCGATTCTTCTAAAATTTGGTATGTAGGTGCACATAGACCACTTCTCTGACATATATTCCGGTTTTTTCGATAGACTCAAAATTTTGGATTTTATAATGATTTTCCCAAAAAAGTCAGTTTTTTGAAAAAAATTAGGCCAAAATCCAAAATTTTCAAAAAACCGAGATAGCCATTTGATAGACAAAGTAAAATTACTTATAACCTTTTTTGTTACGTCTTGATTCCTTTAAAAATGAAGATGTAAGCGGCGTTTGAACTTTTGCCGTTTTTGAGGCGAAAATGGCGAACATGACGTCACTAAAACGTCAATTTCTCAAAAATTTTCCGACGGATTTCGCTCAAATTTTCAGGGAACGTGTCAAATTGATGTAAGAAAAGGTACTGAAAGTTTGGCGGCGCTGCGCGCCGCCGTTTTTGAGATATCGCAAAAATTCGCGAGGGGGGGTAAAATTTACCCCCCCAGCCCCACGCGGGTTAATATTCACTATCCACCCAGTCGCGGCCGGACAAAGCTACACCATGTCATATACTGCAGCAGAATAACCAGTGAATGAGTTTTTATACTTAGGTAATCGATTACTTTTATAGCACAAATTTATGAAAACCCATGCAGATCTAATCCACCGGCGCATTGTACTGTATATTCTGAATCACGCGGCTATCAGTAAGTGGTTAAGAATTAATATTGTTAAGAGCTCAGACATCCCTCTACTCCCCACACCGGGCCCTTGCGTCTCTGACCTTGTGGTGTCTCTGTCCGGCCACCGGTACAAACGTGCTGTCCATCCTCATACGGATGTTACACGGCTCGGTGGCCACGTCCAGTCCCTGCCAGCCCTTGGTGCGCAGCTGGAACTTGGCCTGCGGGAGAGGGTAGAGTGAAGTGGGACGTACAGAGACGGAACCGGGCTGCCAAGGGACCCGGCGGCAAATACATCGACTGAATGTCTCACAATGTCCAAAGAGCTTTGACTTCGATAGCAAAACAGTTACCGTGACTCGTACAGCGGGTAATCCAAAGTATAACGTTTTTTTTTTTTTGCAGATCACGGCTACCGAGTTATGAGCCACGAGTTTATTAGAGTGCGAATTACTGGAGAGCAGGCTACCACAACGAATGCCATATCTATTATGATCAGCCCCTCTTGTCACTTGATCCCCGCAGAGTAAAAAGAGGGACCTGGAGGGACGGCCAGGGATGTCTACCCCTACTACCGGAGCCGTCAGTGCGTCCCCCTCACCTGGAATTCGTCCCAGCCGATGGCGGCGCACTGTTCGGCAGACAGATGTCGCAGCAGCACCTTCACCGAGCTATCGAAACCGGCGCCCTGCTGCACAAACTCCACACGGCCCAGGCGCAGTGTCAGAGCCGAGATCTGCCGAAGGGAGAGGGAGCGGTCAGCACAAGGGACTGGTCAGACTGTTGACAGTTTCCAACCGGACCAGATCAGACCATCTTCAGTCCCCATACTTCCACAAGAAAAATATCAGACCAATCACAGCCGACTTATTGGGAAGCTAGAGTAAAAGAGACTTCAGAAAAAAAAACATGCAACAACCTGACGACAGTTTTCCAGTAAATGAAACGCAGGCCCTCGTTTCGTGCTGCGACCTACCAGTGCATACGACCGCTGGAGTCGATGGGAGTCAGTTCACTCACCACATCCCGTTTCCGCATTGCCGAGGAGAGCGACACCTCGCTATGGGTGTCCTCGGTGACTTCGCTGGCGATCTCGACCGAGGGAACCCGCTTCAGCGCCCCCTCGACCACAAACAGCGGGTCCACCGACTCTGTGGGGGAGCTAGGGCGTTAAGTAAAGGAAACTCAAGTGACACATAAAAACGAGAGGCAGCAATAATATCGTACAATTCTGCCAGTGACAGTTAAGGTTCGACTAATTTACGGTGCTCCCGACTAATTTACAGCTACCGAGGAATGACAAAATTCACAGAACTCTTCTGCAAGTTCACACATCACACGATCACATCTCCCAAATCCACGACACCCTTCCGACCACTGTCCCGCCATAACTGACCTGATCCAGCCCGATCCATCTCCAAGTTGAGCAGCACGTAGCTATCGGAGTCAGAGCTCATATCAGACATCACAGACATCGTGTCGCTCTGATCGTCGGGGCTCTTCAGCGCCGAGTCGATGGACGAGAGGAAGCTGTTGAAGCCCTTCTTCACCTGACTGAAGCCGGCGCCGAGATCGGAGAGCTGACCTACCGGTGAGCTGCCGGCCGCCACGCTCGCCTGACTGATGAGGGTCATCGGCACGGTGCGGTTCCGCGGCGGCGTGGCGTTGGGCGTGCCCGTCGTCGGTCGTACGTGGTTGGTCGAGTTGTGTGAATTGTGACCGGTGTGGTTGGCTGACGGGGAGGTCCCCAGGACCCCGGCGGCGGCCGGGGAGGGCGCGGACAGCGGCGGCTCGTCGGGCGGGAGGGTGATGGAACCGGTCACCTCAGTCAGCGAGTCGACCCGCATCTGCATCAGCGACGCCTCCTGGAAGCTGGTGACGCTAGACGAGTCGGGGAACACGGACAGGTCTCCGCCCGACGAGTCCTTGCTGGAGAGCAGGCAGGGCATCAGCAGGCTGACGTCGACCTGCGGCAGGGCGCCGCTGACGCAGACGCTGCCGGAGCCGGCGGCGCCCAGCAGCCGCTCGGCGTCCATCGTCAGAAAGGCCGACATCTCCGTCAGCCGCTCCAGCTGGCGCAGCAGGAACAGGTACTGGAAGTGGTTCAGCTGCACCGACACCAGGCTCGGCACGTGCAGCAGCGCGCTCTGTTCGGCCACGCGGCCCTCGCGCGCGCTGGCCACCTTGTTACGGTTCTGGTACACCCAGACCGACACAGGGATGGCGTCCACCAGCGGCACAGGCCGGTGGCGCACTGCCGAGGTGCCGTAAAAGTCGGCCCAGAACGGGTCCATGTGCAGGAAGAGAACGTCACGCGGCTCCTCCCAGAGCAGGTCGGAGGGCAGGCCGTGGCGGAAGTCGGCCACCGAGGCCACCACGTCGGCCGGACACGGCTGCACGTGGTCCTTCCCTGCGGGGAGGGAGAGAGCTGGTCAGAAGGCGCCGCGAATAGTGTAAAGTAATCTTGGGCGCCGCGGTGTGGAGACGGGTGCAGTAGTCAATTTAGCAAGCGCTAGATGTCAGGACCATCGTGGAGCGCACGTAAGAGCAGAGCTATGATGAAGGTCCCGGCAACAGCCCGGAACAACTGCAGACACACGACAAGCAGGAACAGGATGTAAACAGTGGTACAATCACATTAGAATCAAGTGTTTGTTGACGCTTCTTGGGAACTTGTTGGGAGCCAGACGGCGTAAACAGGTTAAACTAACTTGGGCCGTATGAGCGAGCTAAACAAATACACGAGGCGCTGTGTTCTTATCGCTTTATTGCAGACGATGGAACATGGGAAACACCAGTTTGACAGAAGTTTCTTTCCGTTAAAAATACCGTAGAATATCAGAGTAGGTTACAGCTAGGGCCATTTGGAATTGACACTGACGAGCAAAGTTGAGAGGCCAAACCAAGTTAATATTCACTTTCCAGCCACGTTATTACGCTTATATTTTCCCACGCCGACCGTTAATATGAAGCCGGGCCTATGAATAACTAACGATCAAAGTTGGTTTTATTTCATCGCCGGCGCTCCATCAAAAGCGATAGTGGTGAACTAATCTCCGCTCCTTTTCAGCGCCGCTCGCGCATCACACTGGGTGTCTATCATGATAGTGAATAGGTGGAAAGCCGACAGGCTAGGTCCGGCTAGCCTGGCGTCCTCGGGTGTCTTGACAGGTGGCCGGCTAGGGCTGAGCGTTTTAGGACAGAAGGCCCCGTGAACGGCACGACAGAGAGGATCAGACAGGCTCAGTGTGAGGCAAGCTCACGGGAAAGCTATCGCTGATGGAATGCTTGCGGCATCATGACACGACAAGGAATCCAGCGTGGCAAACATAAAACGAATGTAGCGAAAACATATGGCAGGGCATTGAGGAAAAATGTGGTTCAACAGAGGGCGGTTGGAAAACTGTGGGCAAACATTGACACATCGTTCGTGTGTCGCTCAGCGTGATATCACCAACCTAGGACCACCTCACCAAAATACCACCACTCGGCTGACCAACCAGCGGTGTAAGTTCCGTTAGTGACAGTGACGCTAGTGCTCCTTACCTAACGTGTGCTGCACCAGCCGGTCGGGCACCATCTGGAAGTCGGAGTCTCGCGCCGGGAACTCTGAACCGAAAGCCATCTCGCCCGCCTGTAGCCGCTCCAGGCAGGTGGTCAGACCGGCCAGAGACCTGAGTGGAACGAACACGGAACTGTAAAAGCGTGAGCGAACTCAGGGCGACTCACTGAGGGCAGCTCAAGCCTCAAACAGGTAAAAATATACCTGTTTATAAAAATATATAAGTGATTGGAATTACAGTGCTGGGTGTAAAATTCACAACAAGACAACCAATACCATAGCGAGGTTCTAGGCGAAACGCAACCCCGAAATACAAAAAAAAAAAAAAAAAATCTTGTCAGTCCTGTGGCCTCTTATTACCCGCCCTGGCGCGGTGGGGTCCGCCCCTTTCCCCTTTACCCACCCCGGCGCGGTGGGATCTGGTGACCGGTAGTTGCAGATCAGCAGTCGCGTGGTCTGCATGTGCAGCGTGCTGGGCCGGTCCCTCTGCAGCGGGTAGTCCTGCGCCGTCTCCAGCACCAATCTCGGCATGATGGCCTCCAGCCGCAGGTCCAGGTAGGGCGGCGACGCAGAGCCGCCCGAGGCCGACAGCGACTTGGTGAGGTTGCAGGCGAACGCGTTCAGCCAGAGAACGGTGACCGGGTCGACAATCACCTGCACCGGGTTCACGTGCACCATCGCCTTCGGGGGCGGCACTGAGAACAGACACGGACGCATGTCAGACGGAGGAATCGACACTAGGCGCAGGGTGAAATCATACGGAATCATACGGAAATCATACAGACGAGGAATCAACACCAGGCGCAGCGAAATGAAATCATGTGAATGGTCAGGTCTAGTGGAGGAATGGGGGTGGAACGAAAAGACCGGAACGTGCGAAATTAAAGGGTCGAGAAGTAAAAACGGATTTAGGGAACAAAACAAACCACGTAGTCCATGGTGTACACTTTGCATAATGCATATATTTGATATTTGTTTGGCGTCGTTCATGACATCTAACAGAATTACTGGACTGATCGCGATTTCGAACGACCTCATTAGAGTTAAGTACAACGATTGAACTGATCGTATTATCGAGACGGTGCGGTGCTCACTGCATCATGGTTCCAGAACCGCTTTAGGTGTGTATTCACAATTCTTCTATTCCATGTGGACTGCATGGGTCACCATGATGCTAATTCTGAATATAGTGCTTAACGACCCCTCAAAAATTAACATTTAAATTAAGACACATGTCAGGATTCCATACGTCCGTGAAGTTAGCGTCGTATTCCGCGACGGATTCAGCGTCGAGTCCGAATTTCAACTAAACCCAACCTATCTGATGCAGTTTGGGACGCTGATTCCGAATATCGTATTCATTTCAAAATTCAAGGTCATCTTCAAGGTCAAATCACGAATTGAAATTGAGACCCCGATTTTTCCTACACCGATCGTCCGATCCGATTTCTGAAGGTCGCATTCGAAAGCTAGGGTCAGAATCTCGAATTCCCTAATATATACCTTATTGAAAATATTTGACCTTCAAGGTCAAATCACGGATTGAAATTTTGAGTCCCCCTATTTTTTCTACACCGATCGTCTAATCCAATTTCTGATGGCCGCATTCGATAGCTAGGGTCAGAATCTCGAGTTCCCTAATATATACCTTATTAAAAATATTTGACCTTAAAGGTCAAATCACGGATTGAAATTTTGAGTCCCCCTATTTTTTCTACACCGATCGTCCGATCCAATTTCTGATGGTCGCATTCGATAGTTAGGGTCAGAATCTCGAGTTCCCTAATATATACCTTATTAAAAATATTTGACCTTAAAGGTCAAATCACGGATTGAAATTTTGAGTCCCCCTATTTTTTCTACACCGATCGTCCAATCCAATTTCTGATGGTCGTATTCGATAGCGAGGGTCAGAATCTCGAGTTCCCTAATATATACCTTATTAAAAATATTTGACCTTAAAGGTAAAAAAACGGATTGAAATTTTGAGTCCCCCTATTTTTTCTACACCGATCGTCCAATCCAATTTCTGATGGTCGCATTCGATAGCTAGGGTAAGAATCTCGAGTTCCCTAATATATACCTTATTAAAAATATTTGACCTTAAAGGTCAAATCACGGATTGAAATTTTAAGTCCCCCTATTTTTTCTACACCGATCGTCCGATCCAATTTCTGATGGTCGCATTCGATAGCTAGGGTCAGAATCTCGAGTTCCATAATATATACCTTATTAAAAATATTTGACCTTAAAGGTCAAATCACGGATATTCGACCTTAAAGGTCACATCACGGATTGAAATTTTGAGTCCCCCGATTTTTTCTACACCGATCGTCCGATCCAATTTCTGAAGGTCGCATTCGATAGCTAGGGTCAGAATCTCGAGTTCCTTCATATATACCTTATTAAAAATATTTGACCTTAAAGGTCAAATCACGGATTGAATTTTTGAGTCCCCCAATTTTTTCAACACCGATCGTCCGATCCGATTTCTGATGGTCGCATTCGATAGCTAGGGTCAAAATCTCGAGTTCCCTAATATATACCTTATTAAAAATATTTGACCTTAAAGGCCAAATCACGGATTGAAATTTTGAGTCCCCCTATTTTTTCTACACCGATCGTCCGATCCAATTTCTGATGGTCGCATTCGATAGTTAGGGTCAGAATCTCGAGTTCCCTAATATATACCTTATTAAAAATATTTGACCTTAAAGGTCAAATCACGGATTGAAATTTTGAGTCCCCCTATTTTTTCTACACCGATCGTCCAATCCAATTTCTGATGGTCGTATTCGATAGCAAGGGTCAGAATCTCGCGTTCCCTTATATATACCTTATTAAAAATATTTGACCTTAAAGGTCAAATCACGGATTGAAATTTTGAGTCCCCCTATTTTTTCTACACCGATCGTCCAATCCAATTTCTGATGGTCGCATTCGATAGCTAGGGTAAGAATCTCGAGTTCCCTAATATATACCTTATTAAAAATATTTGACCTTAAAGGTCGGATCGGATCGGATTGAAATTTTAGATCCCCCTATTTTTTCTACACCGATCGTCCGATCCAATTTCTGATGGTCGCATTCGCTAGCTAGGGTCAAAATTTCGAGTTCCCTTATATATACCTTATTAAAAATATTTGACCTTAAAGGTCAAATCACGGATATTCGACCTTAAAGGTCACATCACGGATTGAAATTTTGAGTCCCCCGATTTTTTCTACACCGATCGTCCGATCCGATTTCTGATGGTCGCATTCGATAGCTAGGGTCAGAATCTCGAATTCCTTACTATGTATCTTATTAAAAATATTTGACCTTAAAGGTCAAATCACGGATTGAAATTTTGAGTCCCCCTATTTTTTTTTACACCGATCGTCCGATCCAATTTCTGATGGTCGCATTCGATAGCTAGGGTCAGAATCTCGAGTTCCCTAGTATATTCCTTATTAAAAATATTTGACCTTAAAGGTCAAATCACGGATTGAAATTTTGAGGCCCCTATTTTTTCTACACCGATCGTCTGATCCAATTTCTGATGGTCGCATTCGATAGCGAGGGTCAGAATCTCGAGTTCCCTAATATATACCTTATTAAAAATATTTGACCTTAAAGGTCAAATCACGGATTGAAATTTTGAGTCCCCTATTTTTTCTACACCGATCGTCCAATCCAATTTCTGATGGTCGCATTCGATAGCTAGGGTAAGAATCTCGAGTTCCCTTATATATACCTTATTAAAAATATTTGACCTTAAAGGTCAAATCACGGATTGAAATTTTGAGTCCCCCGATTTTTCCTACACCGATCGTCTGATCCAATTTCTGATGGCCGCATTCGATAGCTAGGGTCAGAATCTCGAGTTCCCTAATATATACCTTATTAAAAATATTTGACCTTAAAGGTCAAATCACGGATTGAAATTTTGAGTCCCCCAATTTTTTCAACACCGATCGTCCGATCCGATTTCTGAAGGTCGCATTCGATAGCTAGGGTCAGAATCTCGAATTCCTTAATATGTACCTTATTAAAAATATTTGACCTTAAAGGTCAAATCACGGATTGAAATTTTGAGTCCCCCTATTTTTTTTACACCGATCGTCCGATCCAATTTCTGATGGTCGCATTCGATAGCTAGGGTCAGAATCTCGAGTTCCCTAATATATTCCTTATTAAAAATATTTGACCTTAAAGGTCAAATCACGGATTGAAATTTTGAGTCCCCCTAATTTTTCTACACCGATCGTCTGATCCAATTTCTGATGGTCGCATTCGATAGTTAGGGTCAGAATCTCGAGTTCCCTAATATATACCTTATTAAAATATTTGACCTTAAAGGTCAAATCACGGATATTCGACCTGAAAGGTCACATCACGGATTGAAATTTTGAGTCCCCCGATTTTTTCTACCCCGATCGTCTGATCCAATTTCTGATGGTCGCATTCGATAGCTAGGGTCAAAATCTCGAGTTTCTTAATATATACCTTATTAAAAATATTTGACCTTAAAGGTCAAATCACGGATTGAAATTTTGAGTCCCCTATTTTTTCTGCACCGATTGTCCGATCCAATTTCTGATGGTCGCATTCGATAGCTAGGGTCAGAATCTCGAGTTCCCTAATATATATCTTATTAAAAATATTTGACCTTAAAGGTCAAATCACGGATTGAGTTTTTGAGTCCCCCAATTTTTTCAACACCGATCGTCCGATCCGATTTCTGATGGTCGCATTCGATAGCTAGGGTCAGAATCTCGAGTTCCATAATATATACCTTATTAAAAAATATTCGACCTTAAAGGTCACATCACGGATTGAAATTTTGAGTCCCCCGATTTTTTTCTACACTGATCGTCCGATCCAATTTCTGAAGGTCGCATTCGATAGCTAGGGTCAGAATCTCGAGTTCCTTCTTATATACCTTATTAAAAATATTTGACCTTGAAGGTCAAATCACGGATTGAATTTTTGAGTCCCCAATTTTTTCAACACCGATCGACCGATCCGATTTCTGATGGTCGCATTCGATAGCTAGGGTCAAAATCTCGAGTTCCCTAATATATACCTTATTAAAAATATTTGACTTGAAATTTTGAGTCCCCCTATTTTTTCTACACCGATCGTCCGATCCAATTTCTGATGGTCGCATTCGATAGTTAGGGTCAGAATTTCGAGTTCCCTAATATATACCTTATTAAAAATATTTGACCTTAAAGGTCATATCACGGATTGAAATTTTGAGTCCCCCTATTTTTTCTACACCGATCGTCTGATCCAATTTCTGATGGTTGCATTCGATACTTTGGGTCAGAATCTCGAGTTCCCTTATATATACCTTATTAAAAATATTTGACCTTAAAGGTCAAATCACGGATTGAAATTTTGAGTCCCCCTATTTTTTCTACACCGATCGTCCAATCCAATTTCTGATGGTCGCATTCGATAGCTAGGGTAAGAATCTCGAGTTCCCTAAAATATACCTTATTAAAAATATTTGACCTTAAAGGTCAAATCACGGATATTCGACCTGAAAGGTCACATCACGGATTGAAATTTTGAGTCCCCCGATTTTTTCTACACCGATCGTCCGATCCGATTTCTGAAGGTTGCATTCGATAGCTAGGGTCAGAATCTCGAATTCCTTAGTATATACCTTATTAAAAATATTTGACCTTAAAGGTCAAATCACGGATTGAAATTTTGAGTCCCCCTAT